CCTTACGCGACAGGTGTCTCAGCCTATCAGAGCGGTCGCCACTCAACCCATTCGACTGGTCTGCCCATGTTTACTTCTCTTTAATCAAATCTGGATTTTTCTGGCTCCAGAATCATAAAGCACTTCCAGCGAAGCGTGAACTCTAATCTAGTCTATGAAAAGAACCATTCAGGATCCTGTAGATCACATTTCAGACATGTTTTTGTAAAATGTATTACCTTGTAAGTAAAAATTAGACTCAGCCATAAGACAATATATTCCACATGCACAACTGCACGTATTTGGTCTCTGTTGATTTTGCTGGCATTGTACTGTGCAGTGATTCAGTCAAATCACAAATGACTTTTCTCCTTTAATGCACGCCGAGAGCCTTTAACCATAAACTGGACTGCCTTAATCCATTCTCACAGTTGACATCTGTTTTGAATGGAAGCACATGTTTAAATCTGTCACATGTGTAGTTAGACAGTGACAAAAACTCATCTTAAAATTTGAAACCATGTCTGCACCTATACAAAGAAAGTTTTTCCTGTATTAATGGGACGTTGTCGCCTTATTTACTGTCTAGCTTTTGGTTTTATTTACTGTGTTAATTACAAACCCTTCTTGTATACTGCAGCAGCCAGAAAAGCAGCATCATGATGTGTACCAGAGGTGGGCCAAAGAGCTCTCTTTAAGAGAGTATTGATACCAGCGTTGGTATTGGTATCAGATCGATACTCGTTCAGTAGGATCGATACTTTGATTCTATCCTCTAAGTTCAGTATATGGCAAACTGAATTGTGCTAAATAAGTTTTTCTCTTTTTTTTGAAGTGAAAAAATATATATCTAACATGCACTATGAACACGTTTCATTTTAACTATAGCTTTCAGCAGAAGTTGACCCAAAGTGCTTTAGGGAATATATAAAAAGCTGAAAAGTGGGTTTTGTTGTACTAACTAGCTATGGAAAGTAAAATATTTAGATTTTATGATTTAGTTTATAGATTTAATGGTCATTAAAATGTGTTCCAAGATTGCAAACTGATGATGATTTCTGTCATAAGTCATAACACACTGCTCTCCTCTGCTTAAGCTCTCTTCATAGGCTGAAAGTATCGGTGTCGCCAATATTAGCCCTGCATTTACAAATTTGCAGTATTGCAAAGCACTAATGTGTTCATGGCCCTTCTTTGTTTGTGTGTGTGTGTGTGTGTACGCTCACTCTAAGTGAATGACATCAGCACAGTGATTATCGCAAATGTGCAGTGACTTTAGAGTCGTCGTTTCAAAATATACAAGGAGCCTGTGGAAAGACGAGGCCAGCGGCAGCAGCATGTGTTACTGTTCTCCACTCGCCCCCTCATGTCCCCTGCGCTAACATCAAACAGATCCCAGCAGTGCGGTTTGGGAAACGCTTGATGCCGGTAATAATTATTTGCTCCTCAGCTACTATCCTATTAAACAAGTTCATTAAATGGTTTAATTCCAGCAGCTTAGTTTGTTTTCACGTGGATTAAACCTGGAGTGGAGCTTTGGCAGTGTTCAAAGAGCAATGTTGGATCAGGACATGTAAGATGTTCTAGTTGAGAATGCGGTGAAAATGGGAAAATTGAGGGGCTCGGAGGAGAGTTAGCTTAGCAGAATAATCTGCAAGAGCCTGGAGTGCTGCTGAGAGGAACAGCAGCGGAAAGACGCAGGAAGACCAATATAGACAGAAATTGGAGCGTGTGTTTTCTGGTCAGGAACCCGATGCTAAAATTAGCAGGGATGTAAATTCCTGAGCGTTGCCGGTTTTCAGATCCACGCGTGACACTGAGAGTTGCTAGAAAAACAACACAAACAAACAACAGCAACAAAAAGTAAAGGAAGGGCGGCGGTATAGGAAGAGGTCATACATGAAAAAGTGCCTGGGTAATGTTTTCCGCCTTCCTTACTTCTTTTTATTTCTTTTTAAATTGACCTTCGCCCCGAGAACAAAGACATCTAACAAGCCACAAGAAGGAGGGAAAAACTCTGAAAGCGAAAGCCACGGCCCCCACGCACAACAGTCCTCAGGGGGAGGCTCGGGCCCTGGACGCCAAGCCTTCAACATAATCACCACACATGCTATTGTGGCCTGCAGTAAAGCTCTGGTATGGCTCAAATCTGCAGCTAACCCTTTCCACCCCCACTCTCACCACCAGGCCTCTCTGTCCCACCTCCTGCTCTTTGTCTGTCTCTCCATGCATCCCTGTCATTTACAGTCCTAATGACAAGACGCAAACTTCCACACATTCAACCCTCGGCGAGCGAGGATAATCGCATTACAGCCGACGACAGGGACGTAAACCGAACTCAACTTGGACGCACTCAGACGTGGATTTGCATAAATCCAAACAGTACAATCAGCAGTTAAACTGTGTGGCTCTGCTCTTCTTTTTCCATAGCGGCTGGAAGGGAGAGAGACAGAGAGAGAGAGGGGGAAAAAATCCACCTCGCTGTGAAACACTAAAGGCATGGATGGAAAATAGTGGAATACTTTCTCAGTTTACAGTCGCCACATAAAGCCAAGACTATTTCTAGGCGTCCTATTGGTTTAACAGAGGCAAGAACACGCAGCCAGCTGGAAGTCAAGGACAAAGACTCGTGAGGGACTTAGCGGCAGATCCAAGTTCCCATGCTCCGGCCCTGTAGGGTCTTTTTCTTGCTACTTCACTGACCTGCAGATTAATTCAATATCTAAATATTGACATTCCTCCTTGTAGTGTGTGGCTCTTATCTGAAGAGTGCATTTAAGTCCCCCCCCTCTTTACATCAGTAAATCAAAGCTGATAAATTTTCAAAATGTGGGCGGCAAGGTTAGAGGGAGTCAGATAAGGCGCAGTGGATCAGTCAAGGTGAAGTGAAAAGTATGGGGCATGTCTAGACTTGCTGGATTCTTGGGCTTGTGCACGGTTACATTTTATTGGTAATTTCTGTCCTCAGCAGGTGTGTGAATGTAAAAGAAACTGATACAACATTCTCCTGTTTCAACACCAATATTTCTATTTCCCATGAAGGTCACATAGAAAGGAGCTCCAAATATAAAACGGCCTTGATGTCTTTTTCAGTGATCCAGTGATTTTATTTATAAGTTTGCTGGGCCGGTCGTCATTCACGGTTCAAATGTGGACTGACGCACAGCAGACTCTGAGGCCCGAGACGGTCCCGTGTAAAAAATAAATAAGGAAAAAGAAAAAAGGAGAAATTATAACCCTATCGTTTACATGAACGGACCAGCAAAAGAAAAAAACAAACTGAACCTGGCTCAGTGCACTGCGCTGATCAGTTACATTTATGCAAACCCACATTCCTGCTGGAAGAAATGCCTTATTCATTCTGATGACTAAAAGAAAAGCTCCGATGTTAACATACATGACTTTATTTTATAAAATCCTGTCCCACAGCCTTAGAAACAGCTGATCTGTAGTTAGTGCGTTCTTATTTTCAGGGCAGAGGTGAAAATTACAGTATTAGAAATCATGCTGGGACTTTTTTGCATAGTTTTTTGGTTAGTTTAGATAATGGTGCAGACACTAGAGCAAGAGAGGCAGTATCACAGGTGTGGAAGAACCAAGCAGCAACCTGTGGTGCATTGAACAATGAAAACAATGCAGAACCGCAGCTCCTAAACTGGACACTTAAGGCCAATTTACCAGTTTACAGGCTGGTTAGATAAAAACAAAAGAACAGCAAATGTCCTTTGTCATGGCTTAAACTTCTTATTACTCCCCCATTTATATTGTATTAAGGCTTAAAATTAAGACAATTAAAAGCGTGGCTGCTTTCATTGACAGGTAGGTGCTGTTTCTGTGTTCTGTTGTGTTACAAGACACTCTTAATAGTCACCCTTTCAGCTTCTCTGGTAAGCACATTTTGTTTTAAGCCTGTTTTTCGCCAGCCCGACAGTCTTTGTTACGCTGTCGGGACGGGACAAGAACCAGGAGGAGTCGGACAGACGCAGAGATTGCAACCCTGTCAGCCGCTAAATCAGATTGTCTGAATCAGTTTATTTGAAAGATGATAGTAATCTGTCATCACATGAATTTGCAAGAATGTGGAAACTACAATCTGACCTTTCAACAGGTGTTTTTATGGGTTTTTTGTTCTTTTTTTTAAGATTAGTTTTGCTAAACTTGGAACGTCTTGTTTTTTCCCCCCTTTATCAGTCACCGAGTTCAGTGTAGTGACGTAAAAATGATCATTTAATGACCCCATTATGGGAAAAGGCCAACATGTAATCAACTGAAACGACCTTCCACTACAACTAACAGAGGGAAATTCTGCACTTTTGTCTCGTATCTCATGCTTAAAAAATGATTGATAGACTTTCTGTGGTGCTAAAACTGATTCTGGTTTTTATGCATGACTATACTATAAGGATGTAAGATTTGCCTTCCTTGTTCTCATACACACACACCAGGATTCAGTAGCTTGTAGAACCACATTGAGCAGCGATATCTTGATGTGATCATTTTATATATGACTTTAGCCTCTTTGTGGGCATTTTTCTCAGCACAGCTCTCATAACCTCCTTTCCCACTGCAGCAATTTAGACAATTGCAAAACCTGGACTTTTGTTTTTTTCCTGTCAGTCTGTTCTGATCGTCGTCCTGACCCAGTTCAATCCAAGCTTTAGCCATCACAGATGGCCTCATATCAGACTCTAGAGTACTTTGATACACAGCGGAATTCATGGTTGACTCAATGACTGCAAGTTGGTCATGTCCTGTGGCTTCAAAACAAGCCGAGATCAGGACTCCTCCATGCCGTGTTCGCTGATGATCAGCTCATCGACTTGTTACACCTGGCTTTTACCATAATTCGTATGGAAGCAGTAAGGGTGTTCTTAGTTTTTCACAGGACTGCAGAGAGTCCAGTGAAAACTTTCCTTTTCTCATTACTGTAAACACTACACATCAGATCATTTCCCAAGAAGTAATTAAATGCCATTAAAATAAGTTTTTAATAAATGCAGGAATCAGAGTTAAATGTGAGATTTTTTTTAATGTTGATTAGATCATATAACTCCTGTAAAACATTTTCAGGAGCAGCCTTGTAATCTGTTTCCAAAGAGTTCGTTGAGGACTTTTTTTTATAGTTTCCAACTCTAGAATTAAAAACACCCAATAGCATCAGCATACCCAGGTGGGTGTAAAAACATGGCGTCTTTTAAAAGACACATTCTTCTGCTTGTTTTAATGTCCATCATGCAACGGGCTTTGCCAAACTCGAGACTTTATTGCTCCGCAAATGCAACAAAGGCAGTAAAAAGAAACCAGGAATGAAAAAAAAAAAAAAGGGACATTACAGCTTTTTTTTTTTTTTTTTTTTTTTAAATTACTGACAATAAGAGAGCAAGCTCCAATTATAAACCCAGCTCAATGTTTATCAGGATAAATAAATACAAGTTCAAAATAAATACGCTATTAAATACAGTATAAAACAACAGGCACAAAGGGAGGAAATTGCTCTTTGATGAAGGAAGAAAGCAAAAGAAGTAGGAGATGCTGCTTTGGAAAGTGATGAACTTAGAAAAATAATCTGTTTGGTAGTTGGTAAATAGCGAAATCATGAAAACTATACAAAATGTAACTGCAATCAATAAAACACAGTAATAAAAAAAATCCCTTTTCCAAAGATGGGTGTCTAACTGCTACAACAGAATCATAGATACACTTTGAAAATACATTAAAAATTCAAGTAAAGGAAGGTGTACATCAGTAACACAACGCATTGCAGTCATCAATTAAAGCACTGGGGCACACTGTCCACTATCCACTACATTATAGAGCCGCTTCTTTTATATAGACGGAAGCAAACTCTCGCTAAACTCCTAGAAAGAGGCACTTTAACAAAAAGATAAAGTCTTTAAATGTCGGAAATCAAGCAACTGTCTATTGATAGAGCTTCATCCAGTCGACGTGTTACCCAAACCAACAAGAATATGAACGAATGTCTGTAAAGCTTTTACAAAACTAAAGGAGACATTGAAATTGCAAACCAAACTATTATTTAGTGTGAAATTGTCTCAACCACAACCACTCATTATTTAATCCTCACCATTTTTCCCCCAGGGTATGTTTTTTTCTTTTTCCCCCTCTTCGTTTGCTGGCACACTACAAACAAACGTGCTGCATTCCAATAGAAACTTTTGAGTGGAATTGCAAACTACTGCAATTCTTGATTCTTCGATCCAAGTGCTTCATTGTAGGTTTTCGTTCCTATAAACTAAGAGAGGGGGGATTCTGTACACATAGAGTACCTCACATATGTCCTCTCTTTTTCTTCTCATATAAACATCACTTATAAGATTATAGCTTAATTTCTGCACACAGCCAGGAGGCGGCCAGTAAAAACACAAGGTCCATCTGTGTTTATGCACCCAGGCAACACCATCTCTTTATCTCTGGGCCAGCTCAAGCTCATTTCAGCCACTGCGGCGCTCCGTCCTCACCGGCCGGCCTAACAGGAAATGGAGCAAGGTGCCAATTAAAGGAAGGTTTTGTGACATCACTGCCGACCACAGTCACAACAAAAAGGCTGATCACACCTTGACTGTGCCTTCGCTTGTTTGTTTGGTACTGGATACAACAAGCTCAGGGTACGATTTGTGTAAAGCATCCCAAGGAGTAGACCGTTTTATGAACCGTAGATGGAAAAAAAAGAAAGAAAGAGAAAATAAAGATAAAATTGCATCTGTACAGAAATTATGGATAGTAAAAAAATAGATATTCAAATATACACAGTCTACTTGATATATTTGTCGGTGTGTATTTGCTCCATTCCCTGTAGATAAGAAGAAATCAGAAAAAATGTACAGTAAGCTTGTCTTATTCAGTCAGCCTGAAAGGATGGCACAGTCCTCTTGATTCTGATGATCCCAAGCCATCCCCGCAGTAGTGCTCCAGCTCCGTTTAGAGTTCAAAGGGCTGCCGGCTGCAGTGCCTGATTTGAATTCCCTTCATTATAAGGATCACACTGCAAACACGCTCAGTGTGCTGGTCTGGTCCTTTAAGCCCAAGATGCTGTAGGCAATTCTTTTCAAATGTCCAGGCAGCCTCACTCCAATGTTCTTAATATCCCTGCAAAGGACACACACACACCGAGGAGGATATATAAGAGAAGCGCCACATGGATTTACAGTCTGGCCACATTCCAACACTTTTCACGCACATCCTTCCTGCCTCTCGAGCCTTGAAGTAATCACTGACTCATTCGACGTGATGAAATGCCAGCCCGGAGCTGAACCGATTCATGCCTACGTGGGATGCTTTCCAAGTGTGCAGTCTGCCAAGGCTTTAATTGATCTTTCATAAGAAAAAATAAAAAGGACATCACAGGGGGCTCGACGAGCGCACGACGCAAACCTGCAAAAGCCCTGCAAAGCAGCAGCCTAAAGTCAAAGCCTTAATTACAGCCTTAATTACAGCCTTAATTACTTAACAAGGATTCTCTCTGCTGACGATGAATCAGTTGTCTGGCAAGCAGAGGGCGCGTTGTAAATAACTGCTGGTTTTCCAAGAGTGCTACCAGATGCCCCGAGATGGAAACATGGGGCCATGAAATCACACCATACTGTATGACAAATACTTCAAAAGGGTTTGTCTCTGCTTCACAGTCTGCCCATCTTCCCAAGATCAAGACCTACATATATACGTTGTGGCAGAATGGGGTGTGGAGGGGTTTATTTTTGGTTGGTCATGTGGTTAGAAAATGCTCTGGCCCTCGTTATAGAGCTAAAGCAACCTTATACTATATGCTTCACTAAGCCTTTCTTCCCGAAACGTTGAGTTCATCTCATTAAATTACCCCTTTTGTAATCGGGGGAGTCAGGGAAGATCTAATTGCCTCAACCATCTTGTGATGAGTTCAGGGAGTACTTTCTGAGCGCCCCTCTTCAATCTCTCCAGAAATCACATCCATTTCAATTCAGTAATCTCCTCTAGTTGCTGCTCCTCTACAGCCTATTCCCTCCTCCCCCCCTCTTTCCCCTACTTTAATGTTGAAGAAGCCACAAAAGGCCTTCGATCTAAATGGGCAAAACTGGCGGTTTGTTAGGGGCTCGAGTAAAAGTGCCGTCCAGGGCAGCGGGTGTGATTGGGTGCAGGGAGGGAGGAGAGAAAGGATGGAGGAGGGCAAGAAAAATAAGAACTGCAGTAACCACAAGCCGCCACCATCAGCCGACCACAAATGAGCCCCACTTCTTCTCCTTCCCTCGATTAAATTTTCCATCTCAAACATTTCTTAAGTTGTAACCGAGGCTGGCGATTATATTGAGTGCAAACTATTTTGCTGGCTGTTAAAACTTAACATCTTTGGGAAAACAGATACATGAACTACCCGAGAGAAGTCCGTCAGGGGCTGGGAGGTTAAAACAAGTGTGCAACTTTTGGATCTACAATCTTAAAACCTGTGAGCAAATAAGATAACTGCTACTTTAATATCATGTCACACTTACTCAGTTTTCATCTGCAGGACTTGTTCCATGGTGACAATCCCGGCGCAGGTGAAGTTCTCGCTGTACTGGCTCATCTTGATGGACTCCAGCCATTCAGACACCGACCTGAAGGGAGAGCCATCTGAGCCGCTGGTGCTTGGCAAGCGGATGGATACGCTGGTAAAGTAAAATGGATCCAAATGATAATAATCAGCAGGCTTTCCCCACAACAAAGGCTGATGACTGAACTGCAATTACTGTGCAGGAAACCAGTGATAAAAACCAGTCGGAGGAGTTGGGGCGAAAGATAGCGTGGCATCCTTTGTCCTTTCTCACCGTTTCTGGCTCTCATGCTTTTTCACAAAGGTGAAAGTATGTATTCTCACACACAAAAAAACATCAAAAACAAAAGAACGAAAAACAACAAAAAAAATCTTTAGCACGCATAATTCTTCCATTAGCTCAGCAGCAAAGGTGTCAGTGTGTCCTGATGTTTTTAAGTATAACATCTTAACACTGCCACTGCCCCAGTTGACCCTAAACATCCTGCAATTTTGTAAAATTAAACTTAATGGTTGAGCTGCTGCCTAAAGCTCTCCTTTGAAGCTAGGAAAGGTTGAGTCTGAAGTCAGACGGCCAACTCTGAGCTGAGCGTCGAGTCAGATTAGTCACGTTTTAAAACTCCTGTGACAAAAGTCCAGTCAGACGTCAGTCAAACTGTTAAAAAAAAAAAAAAAGCCTTGATTTATTAAATAAACTGAGTCATTTCCCTGACAGACTTGTTAATAATGATGTGCATAGTCTTCAATGCACATCGCATGGCTCCGTCTTAACATCTAGCAGAAGGGAAGCTGAAAGAGCTCAAAGGACGTTTACATAAATGAGACAGAAGGAGGAAAAAAAGTAATTTATATTATTATTGTATTGCCAAATGTTTTGGTTAAAGGGCTCTTTCCAAGAACTGGTTGCTGATAGTGGCAGCCACTGTAGAGTCAGCACTAGAAAAATATGCACTATAAGCCTTCTGCCTAGTGTTTAAATAAATCTTACCGTGGGTCAAAGTCTGCAATGGTCTTCAGGGACTCTGGGCTGCGCAGCAGCTTGTCCAGCAGGCTCACTATGTCTCCGAAACGTGGCCTCTTGGCGCGATCCTGGAGCCAGCACTGCAGCATCAACTGATAAACGGCTGAGGGACAGTCCATAGGTGCCGGGAGCCTGAAAGCTTCATTGATGGCCTTCATCACCTGGAAACAGTTGATCTCATTAGCCCTTTTTTTGTTTGTTTTTTCTCTTTAAAATGACAGGGTTCTTCAAACTTTGTGGTCTTTTTTTTTTTTTTAATTCTATGAAGTTTGCTTGTCTGGCACATACCTCGTGGTTGCTCATGTCCCAGTAAGGTCTTTCTCCAAAAGCCATAACTTCCCACATGACTATGCCAAAACTCCACACGTCACTAGCCGAGGTGAACTTCCTGTATGCTATTGCCTCTGGAGCTGTCCAGCGAATTGGAATTTTACCTCCCTATGTGAGAATAATTTTTTAAAAAACGGTAAGAAACAGATCTTTAAAATGTGGTAAGATGATTCTGGCTGGAGAAAAGCTCTCAGGAAGGCCCACATCTACTCACACTTGTGGTGTACGTCCCCTCAGGATCGTCCTCCAGCACCCGGGACAGGCCGAAGTCAGACACTTTGCACTCCATGTTGTTGTTGACGAGGATGTTGCGGGCAGCCAGGTCTCGGTGGACGTAGCTCATGTCAGAGAGGTACTTCATGCCTGCAGCGATGCCACGCAGCATGCCCACCAGCTGGAAGGACGAAATCTCACCATCATGGTCCTGGTGTAAGAAACAAAACAGTTATTATACTAACTTAAAAAACAAAACAGAAAAAGGATCAAACTCTGAACTTCAGAGCTCGTTCTTGTGTTTTTAACAGCTTCTTTGTGGCTATACTCACAGAGATAGTTGCATTAGTAAAAACTGTATGTAGTGGACTTACCCTAAGGTACCTATCCAGAGCTCCATTCTCCATGTATTCAGTTACGATCATGGCGTGTTTAACTGCACAAAGAAGCCACCAAGAATAATAAATTACACATCTTTCCATTGCACCAAAACAACTGAAACATATAAAACTTAGAAAAGAAGCGGCCAAACTCACAGAAACCCTTACATTTGGTAACCACTCCCTCTAGGCGAATGATGTTCTGGTGGGAGAACTGGCCCATGATGGAGGCCTCGCTCAGAAAGTCCTGCCTCTGTTTCTCGGTGTAGCCAGGCTTCAGTGTCTTGATAGCCACTGCCACCTCTTTCCTCCCCGGCGCTTTCAGAATACCGCGGTACACCTCGCCAAACTCCCCTGCAACAAAAAAAGAAAAAACACCATCACTCAGACACTTGAGTTGAAAACTAGATGCCCAATATTGGAACATGCATCTGATACATCTCAAGAGTTTACCCACAGGGGTTTGGCTGTGCTACAGATTGAAAATGAGGAAGTCTGCATGGCTGTTTTGCCCGGGGCTCTCTCATAGAGGTGTGTTCTCAGAGCCTGATTCTCTGTTGTTGTTTTATTAGCCTGTAGTTCAGGGTGGTGGTGGGGGGTGGGCATGGGAATCAGCTGTCACGAGAGGAGAACGGGTGGGGGGCACGCGGTCGTGGGAAGCGGGTGTTGGAAAAGACCGTTTGCTTACAGGGTAAAAGTTTGTCGCAGTTGAGTAAACGTATCATCATGTGGGGCAGAAAATGGAAAAAAAAAAAAAGCCGACAGCGCTCAGGAAGGTGCTCTGATATCGTTCCAAAACACCGTTCTTGCAACAGTTCCTTTTTTGTGTAAGTGTGCTGTCAACTTGAGCCACGACAAAAAAGGTGCCACAGCCAAGACAATAAAATGTCTCAACTTGTTGTGCGAGCCTGACGGATGTTAATCTCACTGAAGTAACCACCGTCAGTCACCCTGCTAAGCTGTGGAAAATGCACAATGTAAACAGCGAATTTGGGGGATTGGAAAAATCTTTCAACGTCTCAGAGCTAAGACCCACAACAGACTGTCTCAGCAGGGCTGTCACTCACCAGCTCCGATGACTTTCTGTTTGGTTATGTGGCTGGGGTGGATTTCGGTGGCAAACTTGAGGACGGCCACGTTGGGGTCCTCGTATGTGTGTGGATCCACGTAAGTTTTCAGAGGCTTCAATTGTTCTGTCAACCAAAGGAAGAGACAACAACAACAAACACTGTTATTGTAGGTCGAAAAATAAATCAAGTCAATTCATTGAAATGAGACAGAAAGGTGGGAGAATTTTGTTTATTTTTACCTGGGGTGGAGAAGTACGTGTCCTCTGGTCCTTGCCTGGTGTGAGAGTTCCTTTTTCTAAAAACAAAACAAAAAAAAGGAATAAATAAATAAATAAAATCCATCTGCAAATGAATGCCCTACTTTATCTCTTTATTATTTCCCTCCTTTAACATCAAGAGCACATGGCAACCTTTGTAGCAATTTTTCTTTTGCTCTAAGGCTTTCACTGCTGCAATGCATCCATTCAGAAAGAAGTGGCCCTTTGATAGCGGCTGTCGATAGGCTGTGTTTGCAAAGCTGATTTAAAGACTGAAAGACAGACGAGCAGGAGGGGAGGGAGGTAGACAGGCGGGCTACAGTACAATCTGCTACAGCAGAGACCCAGGTCACCTTTGACAAAGTACCCGTGGCCTGGTGCAGAAAGAACCAAGCCCCTCTTATCACCAACAATGTACCACTCTGGGCAAATTTCCTTTCAAGGGCCCCCCCCAACACTCACTAGAATATCACCATTGAGCAATGACAAGGCACATTCAACGCAAATTCCTCGCCAGTGAATGCTGGGACACAAATCCAGATAAATAGAAAGAGAAAGCTGGCTAAAGGAAGGGAAAAAGTGAGAGGTGAGGAGAGATGAATGCGGGGGCCATTTGGAGGCCCCTCAAAAAGGAAAAGCAGAAGAATGAGGGAGGAAGCTGGTGGAGGAGGACTTATTCTGACCGATTAGCAGACAGAAAGTGGAGGGAAGGGAAGCAGAGCGGGACGTTTACTGACCGTCTGTGGAAGAAAAGGAACGCGAACACTACGATCAGCATCATCGCCACCCCAACTGCCGCCACTAATAAGACAGTGTAGTTCTGAGACGGGCTTCCTGGAAGAGAAAACAAGGTTAGACGCACACATCTGCATGAAACTAGTGAAACTTGTAGAGGGATTCTGCTAAGTACCTTCAGTCAAGGTCTCGAAATGCTCTTCCATTCTGGAGCCTTCGGAGTTGTCATCGCTGCCGAGGGCCTGCACAATGAACAGGTAGGCCGTACCCGGGGCCAGATCTTTGATTTGCGCCGAGTTCTTGTCGAGCGTGAGCACGGTGTAGGTAGTCTTATCAAGGTTATCATCCTGGGGGGCAGAGGAAGAAATGTGATCTAAGCAGCCAGTGTTACTGCAGAAGACGTGATCCTGCAGCCATTTATAGCATTTAAATTAGTGGCTTAAGCTTATGGCCAAAACGGCGATGTCTGATTTTGAAAATTTATGCCTCGTGATATAATTATGAATACTCAAAATAGATCCAGTGGATCTGTTATTTAAACAACATGCGAAACACACATACACTGACACAAAACCAAAATGATACATAAGACAAAGTTTGATTTCAGGGCATTCCTGGTGAGAAAAACAAAAGATGCTCACCTTCTTGTGGTAAGTTAGTTTATACCGGACGTGAAGCTGGGCACGTGGTCGAGGGGATACATCCCAGGAAAGAGCCAAGCTGGTGGAGGTCCGTCCCACCAGTCGCATTGTGGTAATTTGGGGGGGATCTAAGGAGAGGGTAGAGAATATTAGGGGTTTTTTGTGATGTGAAAAGCTGAGAGGATATAAGAAACAATAGATAAAATAATAGACTTTAGAGCTGAAATCCGACAGTTCATCTTTCAACCTGTGGAGTTGTCGCTACCTCACAGATAGCCCCACACTGCTGCTTCATATCAGCTGCGCTCACCTGTGTAGTGCAGAAATATGGTGACATTGCTCCTGGATGCTGGCCGCTGAGCCTCACTAGCCAACTGCGACACGCCGCTGTGCGCCTGCACGATGAAGGTGTAGTTGAGGTGAGCTTCCAGCTCGCTCACTGACACCCTGGCCTCAGTCAGCTTCGTGCTGCCCGGCTCATAGCGAACTCTCTCCCCACAGGGCTGACACACAACCCCATCGCAGCGCTGGCATTCCACGCTGTAGGTGATGTCATTACGACCTCCGGTGTCTTCAGGGGGGGTCCAGGAGAGGATGAGTCTTCCCACGGAGGGCTGACGGACAGCCGAAAGATCTCGTGGTGCAGAGGGGGGGCCTGGTGAGCACAGGTTTGAAATGCACGCAGCATTAAGAGCAACGAAGAAGAGAAGCACACGATGCCAGATGTGTGGGATTTTTTTTTCCAGCTATGACTTGAAATATACTTTTTTTTTTAGAAAAGAAGTTTGATAAAAATAACTTTTAAACATGTCCGGTGTCGGCTGAAAGTCATGCTGCCAGTTCAAAACCATAAACACACCCCTGCACATCCTGAAGGATTCACAGTCACTTTTAAAATGTCTGTTTTGATTACACACTGGAAAGGTCACGTGTGGAAATGGCACTGGTTGCACTGGCTGAGTAGCAAACACATCCTCATTTCAAATGTTTCTTTTTTTCCTTCCACGGGTCTCACCTGAGCAGGGTCCAGTAGTGGGGTCGGTTGGGGCCCGGAAGAAGCCATCCTTGCAGGGACAAAGCACAGCACCATGTTCCAGCGTATCGGTGTTGGCAGGACATGGCTCGCACGCGTCACTCGATGCCTCCGCTTTGAAAGAGCCAGGCCGACATTCTGCAGAGACAAAGACGACATTTGCATAAGCAGCAGAACAACAAATGACTTCAGGCAGCATCCCAAATGACAATGCAAAGCTAGTTTCTCCAGACCTTTCTACACCCGTCAATAGAGCAGCAATGCTGTGAACTTTTGACCTCATGTGCAACACAATCAGGCTAAGTTGACATGTCAAGACTAAAAGTCACATTTATACAGGGCTCAGTAATTTGCTGGTTGCAGACAGGGATTGATCAAACCTTCCAATTAGCAGATGACCTGTTCTACCTCCTCAGCCTCAGCCACCTCCAAGTGAAAGATATTTTGTAGGGAAAACATGTGCAAGAGTTTGCATGGTGCTGGCTCTACTTATTAAAATACTCAGATGAGCCCAACCCAGCCTGCACTCCTGCCCTTTACTTCTTCAACCTCTAACGCCTCCTCCCTCACTCCTCTGCTGGCTTCTCACCGTCTCTCAAAGCACAACCAGTTATGCCACATTTGACGATACTTAGGTTGTCAGTGCTGCAACGGGAGAGAGGAATGGAAGCAACAGCTTTCATTAAAAACACCAAGAATCAGCCCAAAACTGCATCCGCGTGCGCCTGACAATCAATCATCTCTATTTTTTTTTCTTTCCTTTTACAGAACCACATGCAGATCTTTGAAACTGTATCGCTCAGATAAGATGACACCCGATTTCACACGTCCAACTCTGAATAAAGAGACGCAGGTAGGGGTCCAGCTGTGCGTAGCCGCGGTGAAATACGAACTTAATGTGGTGTGAAATCTCAGAGAGAGCGTGCCATAAAGGGGAGTGAAAACGAGATGGCTCCCCATTAACTCCGCGAGAGCATTCCAACGCCTGCTGCCGCTCGTGTCCTCACGCCGTTGCACATTCATCCACACACGCGTTCATGTGTGCACCGAACACGCGTTCATGTGTGCACCGAACACATGCACAGAAAACACATACATGTATGCAAAGCACAGCCTTGGACACATGGGACAAGCTGACATCAGAACAGGGATTATGTCTACTGCCTGTCACCTGTTCACATCCCTCTGCTAAGTCAGTTCAACTACACACACACACACACACACACACACACACACACACACACTATATACATACAGAAACATAAAATAAGACATCTCTGCCTTTGTTCCAAGTTGTATTTCTGGAGTAAATAGCTAATGAGTAATGACAGACCTTTACATTTTCTCACTTGTAAAGGTTCAAGTGATAAAAAAAATTCAAAAGAGGTGCTAGAAATAGAGATCAGACAATGTAAGAACCTTTCATGATATTCAAAGACTGTGGTTAACGCCGCTGACAGAGGAAAAGCAACAAAACATTCAAATCAAAGGCAAAATGTACGTGTTCCAACAGGGGCGACTTATAAAGGAGAGCCGAGGATGACGATAAAAATCAGATTCACGCAGAATTCTTTCACTGAGGTCGAAATGAGTCAAAGTTTATCTGCAACCTACAAGTGCCCACACACACACAGACAGCACATGGCTGTGGCTCCGTTTAAGCTATATCAAGGGGATTTCCTCAATAAACCGTACATTTCACTCCAGCTTCGCTTGTTTTTTTCCTCGATCTTTGTGGGTTGGGAGCTGCGCTGCTGTGAACGGGTGTGTGTGTTATATAAGGATTAGAAGACAGAAAAAGCTCAGCTTGAGGTATTTTGTTTTGTTTTGTTTTTTTAAAGTTTGGCCAACAGGCTTGCGCGTTACTCAATCCTCCCTCAAGACAGCGCCTCGTTTCTGTCTCAGCCAGCTGTTTCACCAACAGCTACTGCTACTCATTAACGCAGACGAGGCAAGAGGACAGGAGAGGCAGGAGAGAGGTGATGTGAAGGGGACAGAAGAAATACTGTATCCTGCTGAGGACTGAAGAAAAGAGGGGAGAAAGAAAGAAGACGGGGAAGGGTGAACTCGCTCATTGAGAAGGGGGAACAGCTGCTGCCTCAAACCCCAATTCATACCCCTACCTCTCCTCCTCGTAATCCCCAAATTCCTTCCTCCTCTCCTTTCTCTCCTCCCGGTCGCCTCTAAAAAGCCTCCCAGCTAACCCATTAACATTGCTATTCACCGCTGACCAACAGGCAAAGAGAATGCCATGCCATTCAAGTGCTGAAAGAAGAAAAAAAAAAAGAAAACATACAAACAACCAAGCGCTGCAGATGGGAATAGCCGGAATGCCACATGGCAACTGAAAAGAGGAGGACTAGCCTCTTTTTGGCGCTACAGTGCCGGCTGCAATGCATCGTGGTCAGGCCTGCGGAGATGATGGCCTTACTCTGCGAGTCCCCTCTATAATCAAGATGCATTCCAGTGCACACCACCCAACAGGAGGCCTGTACCAGAGCGCCTTGAGAGCAGATTCATTTTCAGCCCAGGTCTCCGCTGTAACAAAAAAAGGTCAAGGAGTTTGTGTATCATGAACATTTGAGTCACTGACGGTAAATGAAAGTAGATGATTCTCTGCTGAGGTATTTGATGAGAGGATTCCTCGACAAAGGAGAAAAGTCCGGTGAAAGACAACTTCCTTGTTCCACGGAGAAGGTGGAGAGAGGGGCTTTGGATTGTTGCTGGACACAACAGGAAACAGGAAGTGTGAGACTGACGCAGACTTCCTTCCTAAAGCAGCCAATCAAAGCATGGAAGCATAAGGGGAGCGTGACCAGGAGAAGAACTGCCGCTGTGGCTACCAGAGACCTGAGACAGAATAATAACCCAAAAGGAAGCCAGAATGTGTTGACCCAACACGAACAGAGGCACTAAACCCACAAAGAGAGGGGGGGGCTCCTTAGATGAATGATCGTGTATACAAATGTCTCTCAGCCAGCTTCTTCAGAGTTGAAACATTTCACAAAGTTAGACTGGCCATTTTTTCCCCTCCCTGTAGCTACAAAGAAAGGAACTGTTTGTCATTTGAGAGGCCCCGTGTGCCTCGAGTGGCTCTGTGTTTGTTTATTGAGAGTGAGTGCAGGGGCCCGCTACATTGCTGGGAGCCTGAGTGGCTCTGGAGTGGGAGCCTCCGATGGCCACCCCATAAGGCTTGTCAGCTGAAGTTAAGATGGATGGAGGCGCCGAAATGATGAATGCATGGTCGGAAAGATGGATGAATGGGTAACATGGTGGCTCAACAACAGGAATCGGCCCTCAGGACTCGGGCAGCACATGGTAAGGGGAAACCCCCCTGGTCCCCCAACAATTGAAGCCAGTGCAGGGCTTTTTAAAGGCAGTAAGGTCATGTCTGCCTCAGGGCAATTGTGAGTTAAACTGTGCATGGCTTACAGGGAGTCAGTGGCCAAGTAAAACAAACACATGCTCGCAGTGAGGAGGAGGGAGACAGAAAGGATAAATTCAGAACTACAGCCAGTGAACAGAAAATAAAAAACATCTTGCAAAAATAATACCAACCAAGAAATGCAATGTCTAGATCTTAATCAGAATGGCTCCCCGAGTATAACTAAAGGCATTTGCCTGTACCCTTGTGTTCTTATTACACTCCCCATCCCCCTGGTTTTCTCCACCTTGGGACAAACCTGTAATTGCAATATGTCATGTCATTTTGTTTGTATGTAGGGTGACAACACGCCATTAGCATTTTGGGGTACTCGGAGGTAGTGGAACAATGGGGGTCTGTGTTGAAGGAGGTGAACTGGTAATATGAGCTGGGGTGGGGGGGTCACTGAGGTAAAGGAGGGGAGAGCAGCAGAAGGCAGTAAAGGTGTAAGGGCTGAGAGCAGAGTGTGCATGTTGGGGGTGGGTGGGTAGAGAAGCATTAGTCAAAGGGATTAGCTGACCAATGGAGCAGCTGTAAGGGCATTACATCTGTTTTACAATTGCTCTCAGGCTTTCATCTGGGGTTGCTAACAAACACAATAAATTCCCCGATCTGCTTTCGCCTCTCACTCCCTTTGTCCACCCAGATTCACTGACAGGAGGAGGAAAACTGGGAGAGAAAGGTCGAGTCAAGCAGACACGAAATGTGCTCAGCGTTTCTAAGGTTTTGCAGATGCATCGAAGAAACCAGTACTGGTTGAGGTGAGCCAACAGAGACAGCTTCCAGTGGTTTTCCGCAAAGCTGCTTGGTAGAGCCAGATGACCAGGTGGCAAACGCGACACCCGTTTTACTACACCACAACAAGCCAACAGGTAACACGCTGGATGCTGATCACTGTCTGCTTCCTGGCTAGGGGAAGTGGCCAAAATGAGACCGAAATGCACCAATAAACAATAAAGGTTATCAGGGAGGACAACGAAATGGAAAGCGGCTGAGCAAGGCCGCTCGGCATCGACCGACAATGGAAAGCCCTGAGCCAACGGGTTGGGGAGTCACCAAGGGATTAGGTGACCTCCGGTTTCCGCTGTGGGCTCGTCCTGTTAGGAGTGAAGGGCGGGTGGGTGGTGTGTTGTGCTTGGGGGAGGTGGGGGTGACTGACTGACATGGGGGAAGGAAAGTGCTGACCTCACACACTAGCAGTACAATACAATGCGCTTCACATCGACACACACACACACACACACACACACACACACACACAGCCTGCAGGCTCAGGAATGTCACCAAGAGGAAATATGTCCCAACTTCCCCACCACAACCAACACGCACACTAAAAAGCTAAAAATTGCTAAGGGTCAGTTGTTTGGGCCAATGGACATTTGGAAACTAAATAAGGCGACTGCAAAAACAAACTGGTTGTGTTGGTCAGAATGTTGAGGACTCCGATTAAAGCTGCACTAATCAATTTTTTAAAAATACATTCACAGCACTACGTGTAAATCAAAAACACTTGTTTGTCATGACGAACACGAAAAGTAAACACTTCCTGTTAGTTCAAAAGAACCTTTTTTTCCCCCCGTTTTTCACTCATTGTTTTGGTTTTCCATGACATGAGGATTGCTGAACATCCAAAAACTAGCACTGTTCTCAGTGACTCAATGTTCATATAATTATTTAATTATAAATAATAAAATAGGCATGGAAACCATTTGTG